ATTATTTAATTTTAGAGAGATTGTCAACCCAATATGTGATTTTTTTCTCTTGCAGGGAAGATCTGGGAAGAATGTAAAGATCTTTGGTCGCAGGACATCCGGGAATACATCTCTGAACCTTGGAACCTTCTTGACTTTAGTATTTTGGCCATATTTATGACCTCTTTCATTGCCAGATTAATGGCTTTCTGGCATGCATATTGTGCCCAGTGTTATGTTGATGAGAACTATACTGACCTGTCCAATATGACCTTGCCCTTTGAGATACAGTATTTCCAGCTGGGTAAGTGTGGACCAAAGAATTCATGTATTATAAGTAATGATTCAATAATGAGTTTCTTACACATATAAAATTAAACGTAAATACTGTTATTAAAGAGAACTTCCTTGTTCAGACTGTTTTAGGTTACATCACTGAATATTGATTTTTAGTATTGATCTGGGGAGATATTTAAAGATGTTTTTTCTCCCAGATAATTTTAAGACTCAAAACAGAAAACCAATGAACATAAAGGAATTATACTCACCAGGTTTTATAAAGTATCACTGCAGCATTTTTGGACTGCTTAATTTTCCTGCTAACTCATTATGAAAAAGCACACAAGCTAAAATTAGTTCCTTGAATTGTTTACTCAGGTAATGATCTTCTCCGAGTGAAAGTTTACTGCATGAAAACTGTTCTCATTAAGGATTTGTTTATTTTCAGCTCGAATCCACTGGGTGCCCTCTGACCCGCAACTCATTTCTGAAGGCCTCTATGCAATCGCAGTTGTGCTGAGTTTCTCTCGCATTGCATACATCCTGCCTGCCAATGAGAGCTTTGGGCCTTTGCAGATCTCTCTAGGAAGAACTGTAAAAGACATCTTTAAGTTTATGGTGATTTTCATAACAGTTTTTGTGGCTTTCATGGTGGGAATGTTCAATCTGTACTCGTATTACCTCGGAGCCAAGCACAACGATGCATTTACAACGTGAGTGTCAACTATAGACTGTTCCACTAACAAAAAAAACTGTAGCTCTGGATACAATCTTTGTTGAATTAATATGACGTAAGATTAAAACACTTGTTTCACTACAGTAATTAAATTGCCATCTCTCCATCCCTCCAGGCTTGAAGAGAGCTTTAAAACATTATTTTGGGCCATCTTTGGCTTGTCAGAAGTGAAATCAGTGGTCATCAATATTGACCATAAGTTCATTGAGAATATTGGCTATATTCTGTACGGAGTGTACAACATCATCATGGTGATTGTCTTGCTGAATATGCTCATTGCCATGTTCAACAGCTCCTTCCAAGAAATTGAGGTAAGTTTCAACCAGCCACATTTCTATATTAGTATTTATTTTTGTGTCTTGTATATTATCATTGGTGATAAAGTCAACACATTTTGTTGTACGGTCATAATTATTTTAGAATCACTCAATTTGACAAAAATATGAGTAGCTGTTATGATGTACTGTTGATTTATGTCAGTGTCATCACATTTCAGTTCAGTTTCAGTTTTAATTTCTTGTTCACAAAGTAATGCTGCAAAGAAATGTAGATAAGCAGGCGGTTGCACATCAGAAACGCATATTGATGAACTGCTCTTACCCCTTCTTACTCTTCTCTGTTGATGCAGGATGATGCTGATGTTGAGTGGAAGTTTGCCAGAGCTAAGCTCTGGTTCTCGTACTTTGAGTATGGCGGCACGCTGCCTGTGCCCTTCAACCTTGTACCGAGCCCTAAGTCTGTTGTTTCCCTCCTGCTGGGGATAAGGAAGTTTCTCTGGGCTGCACCTCAAGAAGACAAAAGCAAAGAAAGTTCAAATGATGAGATGGAGCTTAACAAGGTGAGGCATCAACGGCTGATACAACTGATATCTGAGGCAGGGAAATGACCAAATCAATTTTTTTGAATGTAGACATTTGTAACATTCCTGGGGTAAAGTTTATTTGAGGGCCCTCTTGTGTCACATTTGTAAGTTGCAGCTTTTACTGTATCCCAGAAAAACACATATTAAAATAAGTTATAATATTAACAATCCTTCATATCTTTTTGTTCTTTTTAATCTTAGTTGAGGCAACAGGAAGATCTGAGTACGGAAGCATCACTTGGTCCAACCCACCACCAGGTAAAGCAGTTTTTGTTTCCTAATGCTAAATCCTTATATCTGCGCTGGAGCAAATTGTATTTCCTGGGTGAAGTTTTATACACATAGAATGAACAGACAGAATGCAATGTTAGTAAGTTATTTTAGTACATATCTAGTCCTCTATTCATATCTGGAGGACAACTTAAGATACTCAAAAGGAAAACTGCCATACATACATGTGTCAATATAATGAGTCAGTCAAAACCATATGTATGATCAAACGTGCTCACTGATCAAGTTGGCTGCTGCTTTTCTTTCCTTAACTAACTAAAACTTTTTTTAGGAACAATCAGCTCATAGGTTGAAGACTCAAATTTTTCTATTCTTTACTACAGAAGATTATGAATCGCCTCATCAAAAGATACATCGTAAAAGCACAAAGAGACAAAGATAACGATGAAGTGAACGAAGGTGAGTTCAGCGGGTTTTCCGGAGACAGTGCTTTTCATGTACATATCACCAAACTATGAGACATCATTCGACGCTGTTTCACTTACTGTCCCACAGGTGAACTGAAAGAGATCAAACAAGACATCTCCAGTCTCCGCTATGAGCTGCTGGAGAGGGAGAACCGTGACATGGAGACACTGACAGAGCTCATCAGGCAACTGGGAGAAGTCTTGCATGTTCGGCAGAAAGAAGAGCAGAGGCACAAGCTGTCAATGCATTCCTAAATTGCACTGCACTTCATTCAGGGGCAGACTGCCCTAAAGCACAGACTTAACTCTTTTTTTGGACAAAAACTTACCTGATAGAACTGGATATTGTGTATTTTAAATATAAAATCATCGCCTTTGCTTTATTTCCCCCCTTTTTGCAGGATAACTCATCAAACTCTCTTTGATCCTGTCCCTGTCCCTGCACAGTTAACCACACGGTGGCACTAATGGAACTTTTTTCTTGCACAGCTCTGTCACACTAATATGGACACTACTGGCTGCTAACATATGGTGTTTATATAGTTTGATGTAGGCGTGATTTCTAATCTCAAGTAGAAAAGCATTTCAGATTAAAAAAAAGGAAGCATATGTTTGGTTGTGTCAGTGGCAGGTTCATAAATCAGACATAACATAAAAACAAATGAAAGCTTGTTAGTATGAACTGCCTTCTGAGCTTCCTGTGATTTTCAAGTTATGAGGTAATGTTTTTCTGTGATGTACCCTTAAAATCAATAAACAGGACTGTGTTTTTTTTTTTTTTTTTTACACAAACCATAAGCTTTGTTGGACTTTTTAATGATGTGTTTTATTAAAATGTTGACCACTTAAGCATAAAGTTTAATGAATAGAGTTAAGATTGATGTTGATTTTTTTTCTCCTCACACAGTGCAGAGGGTTTATGGGTTTTTTAAATCATTGCAGCACTGTTGTGCTCTCTCACACTTGCTGTGACGCAAAACAAATGTCTGAGGACAGTCTGACCTGTCAGGTAGACAAACAGCTTGCCTCCATCTACAGCCAGGCCAGGAGAGTAAAAGCTACTGACTCAAGCCAGAGAGCCAGTATGAAGCAGTTATACGAAGGTAAAAACTAAAGGGACAGACATAGCAGTTACTAAAACAGTAACATGAATCATTTCTATACATTTGTATAAACTGATTGCCTCGGTAAAATATATTCACCCCATGTGTCTGCAATATTAAACATTTGATTTAAAAAGCACCAGAGGATGGGGTTACACAAAACGGAAAGCTGTTGGTGGTCACCATGAGCCATGAGCGTCACATTTCCAGATTAAAGTCTTGTCTGAAAGCTAGACCATTACAGCATTTGAAGAACAAATCATTGCGATATGAATGTGAAACTGTTATCCAAGAATTATGTGGGCCACAGCAGAGAGAATCCCCTCTGATAATGTCAAACACATGACGCAAGAGATAGGACCAAGGCCTGTGTGTGCATCATAACTACATGCAACAGCAATATCTATACTCGACTGATTAAACTGAATAGTAAAACGTTCTGTTATCTATTCAGGACAACAGAAACGATGATTGCAAAGGAGGTGGGGATGCTGTTATGGCACAGTGTCTGTAATAATTATAGAGGAGCACCAAACAGGAGATGCTTAGATAAATATTCTTCACTTCATCATCAAACGTCAAAGGCTGTTCATGTGCGTTTGACAAATATACAGCAAAAACATGATGTTTAAATTGAGAGCTTTAGTTTGAAGCAGCTTAAAAATAGATCCAATGTACAAAAATGGAAAATATCTGAAAACGAAAGTAAAAAAAAAACAAACATTTAGAATGATCCTCTGCAGGAGGCAAAAGGAAAAGAAAGGCAGCTTTCTCATGGCTTTCACTTTATTACGTTACTTGAATAGCTCACTGCAATTTACACTGGAGGATGGTTCAAAATGGTGAATAAAATGTTAAATTGGAGACAATACATTTTGTCCTCAGACTCTCTCACAACATTGGGTCTTGACCTCCAATTAAACTCAACAGGGCTGTTCAGGATGAATGAATTTTGGGACACTCATCAACTTAGTGTAAGCATTTTTTTTTGTCATTTGACATTTGTGTCATCATCTAATGGATCCTAGTTTCTAACATTTTCTCACTTGGCCAAAAATGTCACCATGTTCAACCTCATCCATGAATAGAAGGGAGGGGACTAATGGCCCTTGACATTGAAGAGATCCATTGCTGATTCTCCTCATTGGCTGGCTATATTATTAAGTCTGCTGTAAAGATAGGGTACCAATACATTTTCTCCAGAGGGGTTCTGCATTGATACTTCCTCTGGCATCCTTTGGAGGGTTGACTATTTGGTCTGAATGAAGAAAGCCATTGAAAATCTGTGGGAAAGGAAGATAACACACATTCAGCTTTGAAACATGACACCCACAAGAACAAGGAAATATTCTCATTTACTTGAGTTTGCTAAATTTATTTCCTGAAAGAGCTCAGAACTACGCACTCTTAATCCCTCATCATCAACACTCTAATAGGCTAACAGGCTAATAGTTGGGTCTCTTTTCTTTTCTGTTCAGTTGTTAAATTTTATGGAGCAGACTCTGATGTGAAAGAAAGGCGAAGTCACAGCCTTTCTCGACAGGGAGGAGGATTACAGGAAGGTCTCTGAGCCACAGCTTATCACACCCCATCCAGCCTCCGGACGCACTCCAGTCTCTGCTGTGCGCTTCGCAGCTCAGAAAATGGAAAGTAAAATAAACGGAAGGATGAGCACCATCAGTACTCCGATCGCTGATTCAACCGATACAAGAGTAAGTGACTTGATGGAAGCTGGGAACAGTAATAGTAAATTATCTAACGATTCGCAGTCTTTAACTTGCATGTCCTCCTCCGTGCGTAATTTTGGAAACGGCGGCACACTGATCCACGGTCTAAATTCAAGTGGCGACGGCGCAGTTTTCAAAGACTGTAACATACTCGATGGTTCACTCGCTACAAAACACTTTTATGACCGTAGCGGTGAATATCTGAAGTGTGACAGTGTGCCGTGGGAGGATTTTGTAAAAGTTCAGAGGACGAATGTAGCCACATCCGAAAGTTTGTCAGGCGCAAGTGTAAGTCTCTCCTCGACCACCGGTGCGTGTAAGTTCATCAAAGACGAAAAGGAGCCTTCTGTGATTATGGACACCCCCTGTCCCACCTTTGAGCCATCATCGGAGATATTTCCTCTTGACACCTGCTGTGACACCGACAGGAAGCAGCAGCTGGGGCTCAGTGGCTGCGAGTCCACAAGCTTCAGGTCGACCCCGGCGGGTCCTCCGCCTGGGCTGGAAGGATCTCCAAACTTTTTGATTGACCTGAACCAGTCGGAGCAGCTGAGCCAGGTGAGGACGGACTCCAGGTGTGCTCTGTCCGGGAAGACTTCCATCAACTTTGACGCCAACACGCACGCAGCCTCGCAACAGATGATGTACAAGAACGAGGCTCCCCGTTGGCAGATGCAGACATCTCCGGCTGAGCCTCAGTACTGGTGCCAGTCCGCAGGGGTGACCGAGGACCCGTTCACACACCGCGGCTATGATGGGATCCAGAACCAGGCCCTGTCCCAGAGGAACCCTTCACCTTTCTCTGCATTCCCCGGGTAATTAGTCCGTTACTATAAACTTTCGCCAACTTGTTTGAAAAGAAGTCACTTCCACTCACTTCTTTATATCTCGACTGTCATCTGTCTCTAATGGAAACTTTATCAAACAAGTTTATTTTGTGTTGAAAACAAGTTAGAGTGAATGAGAACATCTTATGCTGTTTGGTCTTCCTCTGAAAATAATCTGTTCTGTCATTTTGAGGCAGCAGAAATATCTGTCTTAAAACATTCTTTTAACCATCTCACTATTTTCTTTAATATAAAGGATCCTTAAGGGCCCTTAAGTCTTACCTTACTCCCTAAACATGGAGAGAGACCCCTTAAATCAGCTTTGAATTCACTCAAGGGTTGAACACGCCAATCATTTATGTAAGAGCAGAGTGCTATTTGAAGTTTACTTAGTTTGTTTCAGCCTTTGATCTTCCATCTGATAAGGATCGAACTATTCTGTGAATTTAGCCTCATAGATGAGTTCATTAATGTGTGTTTTTCTTCTCTTTTTCTTCAGTATGCCACCTCAGAGACTGTGTGTGATCTGTGGCGATGAGGCATCTGGTTGCCACTATGGAGTCTTAACCTGTGGGAGCTGTAAAGTCTTTTTTAAAAGAGCAGTTGAAGGTGAGCTGAGAAAACTTTTTCCCTGCTTCTGGAAATGTCGGGTTCTAGGTTTTCTTTTTTCTTGTTTTTGTGCACACTTCAGTTCAGTACAGTACAAATAGTATATAGTGTATTGGTACTGTTATAAAAGGGAGGAACCTAAGTCATCAGAAAACAGGCAGCTGAACAGTCTTTTTTTACCTTCAGATTTTATTATGTTTCAAGATGCTTTGACAACAGATCAAACGTGCATGACTTTTTTTTATCAGCTATCCTCCCTTTGTTTTTCATCTCCCTACTTCAGTCTACGCTGGAACAGTGAATCTTTTTCTGTTGCCTGTGCTCTGTTGGTGCGTGTCGTCTCATGTCCACTGTTGTTGGTTTCTTTGTTGATCAGTGGGCATTGTTCCAGAAAAATCAACCAAAAGGTAAAAATAAAAAAAATAAAATAAAAAAAACACTGAAGGATCTAGAGGCTGTAGCAGAATATTAATCTCTGACATCAGATAGCGCATGTCCACAATGACTGATGTGGTACAGTGAAAGGGAGTTACCATTCCAAATTTGACTGACCTTCTATGGTAGTTATTAGAGGTCATTAGCAACAGTATCACGCTGACCAGTGTTCACTGTGTTCTTCATCTTGGACTTGTTTTTCTTGTTATCTTGCAATGCGAGATATATAAGAGCCACTATGTCTCACCATGGCCGTGTCACTCTGTCCTCACAGCCTTGCCTCTATCTAATTTTCTTCTTTAGATCTCTCCCCATAATGCTGCCTCAGTGTGGAGTGGAGTAGCCACGTTAATAGTCAAGAGCCCTTCAACACTTTTTTCCTCATTATATGCCTCTCCTCCTCCCTTGATATTTGAAAATCAAACACTGTTAAAATTGTGTGCACTTTCTGTACCCTTTCACTCAACAGGCAGTCATAGCTATCTCTGCGCTGGGCGAAATGACTGCATTGTGGACAAAATCCGGAGGAAGAATTGCCCTGCGTGTCGCCTGCGAAAGTGCTATCAAGCGGGAATGATGCTTGGAGGTAACATTTGGTCGGATTTCTCTTTGCACAGAGCTAATTCGCCCGTAAGGCAGAAATGAAACTGATTGGTTAAGTCACACTTTGAAATAATGATTAGCCTCAAAGAGAATGTTCAAAGTGCTCGGATCAAAAAGACAATAGTGAATTGAAATTAAACAGGAGCCTTTTGCAGGAAGAGGTATTGAACTCCTTTTTCAAAAGCGTGTTTGAGCAACTTTACCACTCAAATTTTGAATTGACTTGGCAACACTGAAGCTCTGTGATGAGTTATGGGCACAAATTGTACTTGTCATCAAATCTAACCAGGCCTTGTATTCATGTCACAGGCAGGAAGTTGAAGCGTTTCGGGGCCTTGAAAGCCTTCGGTTTGGCCCCGTCCCTGATGTTCCAGTCCCATTTGGCCATGTCCAGTGACGGCCAGGCCTTGACCTCCATGTCTTGCATACCAGGCATCCGTGAGGTGCAACTCACCCAACAGATCATCAATATCCTGGAAAACATCGAACCAGAGATCATGTACTCCGGTTATGACAGCTCGCAGCCCGATGCTCCCCATCTTCTGCTCACCAGTCTCAACAGGCTGTGTGAGAAACAGCTGCTGTGGATTGTCAAGTGGTCCAAGTCCTTGCCAGGTAACGGCTCTCTCAGCTCAGGGTCACCTGTTGTTGCCATGGGGATCCACTGACGGGCCTCGCTGAAAGTCTCAGGCTTAAACGCTGATTTAGATAGAAGGCTTTGTAATGCCATGAATATTAACGTAGATATGAGAGAAGTGATTCCAAGTAATATAAAATAATTTGACTGTCTGAATCAAAATATCACTAGAAAACCAATGTGCTGCACCACTGGAGTATGATGGTATACTGGTGCACAGGTGTTAGGACACAGGTCGTATCTACTATAAAAAATAAAAAAGGGACCAAGAGGCTGAGAAATTAAATGTACTCTAATACAGAATTTCATTTTCTTTCTAAGGGTTTCGTAATCTTCATATCACTGATCAGATGACCCTCATCCAGTACTCGTGGATGAACCTCATGGTGTTCTCGCTTGGGTGGCGCTCCTTTCAGAATGTCACCAGTGAATATCTATACTTCGCACCTGATCTGGTTCTTAGTCAGTAAGTAACCGACCTCACGCAGGCAATTTAAGTTGGCTCTTGCTTCACAGTGATTTATAGTAAAGAGTTATAGACATGACAATGATGGCATGTATTCAAAAAGCAATGATTTTCAATAATTGTTCCTAAACATGAGACCATTTTTGTTTTTGTCCTTCAGGGAGCAAATGAGGAGATCTCCCATTTACGAGCTCTGCCTGGCAATACAGTTTATTCCTCAGGAGTTTGCAAATCTTCAAGTCACCCGCGAGGAGTTTCTCTGCATGAAAGCCATAATACTACTCAACACAGGTAAAAGACAGAAGACTTAGTGAATCGGACTCAAGATAACTCCTGTTTTCCTTACGGTGACCTAGTTTGATGTAAAAGCATTCAGGATACAATGTTGCTATGATGAGCCTCTACTGTAGAGCCGCACAATAAAAGGGAGTGTTGTACAGGGTGACTGGACCTTGACAAGATTTATGTAGCAGCTGCTATCGAGTACTAGTTTTACAGGCCGAAAAACAATGTTTTTAATAGCAGCATGTTACTTCTATAACAGTCATTGTTGACCGGCTCTTCTGCATTTCCTTAGTGTGTGTTCAAGACAGAATAGTCATTTTTCTACATTTTAAAAGGAGATGATGTTTGGAGAAATGTATTTTTTTGAAACTATAAGTGTCTTATCTGCTCTCAGTGCCTCTTGAGGGACTCAAAAGCCAGGCAGTCTTTGAAGAGATGAGACAAAACTACGTCCGGGAGCTGACCAAGGCTATCCACATGAGGGAGAAGGGCATGGTTGCCAGCTCACAGCGATTCTACCACCTCACCAAACTGATGGACGCCATGCATGATGTAGGGCTGACCTCGTAGTGAAACAGCATTAATTCATGTGTCTTAATCGAACTGCTACTTTACTGAGCGCCAAGGTAAATGTGAATGTCTCTTTTCTGACAGATAGTGAAGAAGGTCAACCTGTTCTGTCTGAGCACCTTCATCCAGGCAGACGCCATGAAAGTGGAGTTTCCAGAGATGATGTCAGAGGTCATTGCCTCCCAGCTTCCCAAGGTCCTGGCAGGCATGGTGAGGCCCCTCTTATTCCACACCAAGTGATGATGCCGGCTCAGACGTCACAACTCTGCGGAGACAACTTGCGACTGGATTATTCACAATTATAAATATAGTCGGTCATCTGTACTTTGCCAAACTGCCTCTAATGCTCTTTATGAGGTAAACTATAATGAACACATTCCTTAAAATACAGTTTTTAGTAGAGAACTATCTCATATATTATAAATTCAGAGGCATCGTTTATTAAAGGTCCTCTGTTTAAATTCTGGAGTAGCCACCCTCTCCCATCCTACAGCTTGTGTACAGATGGTACTTACTAGCTGATATACAGTAGGTTTTGAGAACCCTTAGAGATACTGATATTTTTGTACTGAAGCTGTAAAAAAGAAAAAAAAAAATCAAACAGAAAATTTCAGGATTTATTCTCACCAAAATTGTATTCTTAATAAAGGAAAATCACAGGAGACACTGAAACCTGCTGCTTAAACTAATGAAAAGCTTTTATGGTTCACAGCAGAGCAACTTAATGCACCTATTTCAGGGAGGAGAGACAGAAAGATAACTGTCTTTAAAATGTGTGTGTTTAAAAAAAGTAAGCTTAAGTGAACTACAAATAATTCAGTCACCGCACATCTCTGCCAGCACTGCACAATATGCCTTAAATGTGTTATTTTTTTTAAAAATGGAACGGATTTAAGATTTTTTATTCTGCATCTGGATCTGAATCAAAATACACACAATGACAGATGTCAGAAGGATGCATGTGACAAATTTAATTCAAGTGAGTGCAGTAGTTCATGAAAAAATGTAAAAAAAAAAAAAAAAACCAAAAGTGTTCAATGTATTTAACAATGTCAAGAAAAACCTTTAAAAAATTCTGGAACAGCATTCACATGTGTAACAACAGCTGATCACCTCTCCTTCGTCCAATAATCGTACTTTACACCAAATTCTATTTAAGTCAGTTAAGCTTAAGCGGGATGTAACACATAAGTGCCATGGTAATGAAAATGTGCAATAAAAACAAATTTTCACGAAGGAAGGTATAGAAGATAACTACATTATCCGTCAGTCTAATCCTAGACTTTCTCAGTGATAAACACAACCATGTCTTAAAGTAGGGACACATGGAGACAAATACATTTCACCTTCCAACAGTCAGTCAGTCACAGGACTTTCTCACCATTCTGTTTTAGATGTTGAATTTAGAGTTCCTTGCTGCAGTGAGCACAAAATATACTCACTAATTGTGACAAAGGATTTGGACCACAGGTCTAATAAATCACTCTGTTTATTTATAGAAATGTTTTTGCACCTTCAAGACACAGTAGATGATTGCAAGGAAACAAGCTTGCCATATAAAAAAAAAAAAAAGAAGGGGGATGCCAAATGTTACATATTCAGGATGTGGATGTCATTTCCCTGATATGCTCCTCCAAATTCAGACTGTAAGGGAGTATTATTCCAGCATCACTGTTCAAGGCCATTTCACATTCTTAAAGATGTAAAAGAACATCCTGATCTTGGGAAGTGAGAGATCTCAAATAACTTTCCAAATAAATTTTTGGCCACCAGAGAAAGTTTTACTTTGGAGTAAACCTTCAGTTTGTAATAACTGAAGAACGAAAAGGTTGTGATTATTTTTTTTCTTTTAACTTTTCCTGAAATAATATCACTTTTTAGATGATTATGTCTTTGGAAATGTTGTGACAGTAATAGAAAATTAAATATTAAACAGCATCTTTACCATAATATAATCTGCTAAATGTCTAGTTGTCATTACTAGTACACCAGTGTACCAGTGAGTACAGTACCACAACAAGCATTAAAGGTGAAGGTTCCACCTCATGAACATTGCGTTCATGACAGTATAAAAAAAACACATTTTTACATATGGCATATGTCTGATGTGATAATTTATAGTAATAAACAGTTACAAGAAGTAAATATTTTTGATTAGCAACTACAGAAGAACATATGAGCATTAATGTACAGTACTGTACTGTGTAGCTAACCAGAAAGTGCACTGCAGCAGTGAGCAGGTTCAGTGGTTGAACAATGATCACAGGCCATAAACATGAAAGTTAAGGTGCAAACCCATTATGCTTTTTTCTAATAGATTAGTTGAGTATCCTTACTTTAAATCACAGTTTGTTCAATGACAGTTAATACAAAATGTTTATGAAACTATAGATTTCCATTAAAAACTTGATGAAAGTGTTTTGTTGTTATAATCGGAAGTTAAAAGATAACATATTTCTGAGAATAAAACTTGTGAAATGGGATCTGATTGTCTTGTGATTTTGTAAGCAAATACTGGGACTAAAAAACACCAGTGCAGTCATTGGCTAAATATATTTACATCTGAATCTCTGCAGATTCCCCAGCATTTCACCATGAAGTCATTACAGAAAAGGAGGTACAATCCTGGACTTTGAACTTCTAGCACTGTAAAAGCAATTACTGCCCAACTTCATATCTGTTAGGAATGCATAAAATGCAGAATTAATAGTTACCAGCAACATTACAACAATCAATCACATCTTGTCTTTTTCCTTTCCATGGATGCCATGAAAAAGTTGTTCCCCACCTGTTAGAAGAAGACGACATAATTCTCAGGGATTAAACCTGTTTTCCCCTCATATGTTGCTTGGAGCCAGCCTGGTTCAACAGAGGGATAGACTATAAAACAGAAAGGGAGAGAAATTACTGAGGTAAAAAAGAAGAGAGAACCAGATGCTTAATTTAAATTAATTTGAATTTATTTCCCAGGACTTAGTGAAGCGAAAGCAGCAAAAAACAAAATCACAAAAAATGAAGAAATAAAAGATGCTATAAGGCAGCTATAAACACTCATAGCAGACTGAGGAAGACTGGGGGTCAGACTGCTCTTTAAATTCAGTCCTCACAGAATGTTTTAGCAGGCTTGAAGGTGGGATCGCTTTGCTTAATCACACACATACAGCAGAGACCATAAAAACAACAAGAGATGTGCCAAAATTAAGAGGAACAGCTTTCATAATTATCACCGAAAATCATCTAGGATGTGGAGAAAAAAAAAGGCCTGTTAATACAGATAGCAATAAAAGTGCTCTGGCTGCTGGTAAATGGAAGGGAGCGTTTGTTGACGTTTTTGCGTTTGGCTGCTGGCTCTGCTGGTTGTGTTAACAGGGAACAGGCACTGGTTCCTTCCATCACTAGGTTACAGTGACCTGCTTGCACTGGTTGTGGGCCAAGTCATATCTTCATGGAAAAAGCATGAGGTAATAAAAAATCCTGGGACTGTTTGGTCTTTAGTAATGCATATGGGGGTGTCACACTAAGAGCAAAATTATTTTATGCCTCCCCATAACACTGGGAATTAGCCAAGTGCTTGCTGTGTGCTGCCAGTGCGCAACAGACTGTGTGTGTGTATACTGTTTAAACATCCAATCAGCCTACGCAAGGAGGCATGTGTGCTGCTGCGAGCACTGCTGCAGAAAAGTAGCTATCAGCTGAAGCATATAATGTTTGTCTTGTTCTGGCTCGACTCACCATTTGAGAAGTGCGCCCCCTGGGGGAAGCTGAGCTCGTGGCTGTGCTCTGCTTCACAGGAATACATGGCCTTGGCATCTCTGTAAAGACAACAAACAAAAAGGCAATGTCATGGCAGAACTGGGATGAGAGAGTGATTAATTGGGCGAACCTGTTGAAGATGGTGTCACGTTTTTACTGCACCTTCCGACTGGAACGGATTGTGGGGAAGAGGCATTTTCAAAAAGCAGTGCTCTGGCAGCAACCCTGCAAAAATAAGAAAAACAGTGGAGTTGACTGCACTCGATTGTATCAAGATAAACAGCTGAAAAACAAAATATTTGGTAAATGATGTCATCCAAAGAAAAATGTGTCCTGTGATAGGATGATTTGTAATTTGTAAATATATGGGGAAATCTAGTTTAATATATCATTGCGTATAACAGGGGTTTTCAACCGGTGGTCTGCGGCCTCCTGGTTGACGGTGTAGGCATTGCAGGTGGTCCCTGACCCTGCATTTAATCATGTAGTTTCACTGAGGAAATCCCTGTTTTTTTCTTATTTCAATTTCTAAATACATTTCTATGTATTAATTATTGTTTGTGAATAATCAAATTCATACAAATACATAAAATTCAGAAAAGTGACTTTCAGGATTAAAATCATGACCATCCAGTATATCCTTGGTAGCCTGTGTTTTAATGTTAAAATGCGTCCCTTATATCACGTGTGTATGCATAACATGCAGATTTGCGCCGAAAAATATTAAAGAGTTACTAATTGATTTTGCCGATGAAAAGGCTGTTTTGCAAGTTTCCGTGAATAGTAACAGTTAGTATCTAAAGGGGCTGTCAAACATGTAAGAAATAAATCTATCCTAAACACCTTTCTTCACATTCCACTGTGAGAAACTCCTCAGGTGGTTCCGAGTCACAATCTGCTAAAAACTCAATAAAGTCAGCAGTGCTGCCTCGGAGAGAAATTCAAGCCAATCTGACCTTTTCTGACCAGAACAAGTCTGTTCACTTTCTCTCGGCCTTGCCAGCATTTCTCATTGTTGAGAATAATGTGAAAGGCGTAACGATACAATGCTGGAGGTTTCCTTCCTCCGGGCAGGGTAAGCTTCAGCATGGAGCTAAACTGAGTTAAGCTATATAACGAGGCTGCTCTTGACCCCGTGCACGACAACCTCAGAGTCAAGGGGGACAGCACAGCCTTGGGGCGAGCTGGGTGGGTGCTATACAAGGACACTACTTGAGATACCATGTGACTGGCTTTCAGACATGACAAGTCAAACAATCTATTTGTCCCAAGAGAACAAGCGCAGACTGCTGCTGGGTCACATCAACCCCAGAGCAGAGTGTAATTAAAGCCAGCTCTCCCACCATAGAGGAAAAGACATAAATCTCCTAACACATACTTATGTGATCTGAGAGACCTCTCAATGCTCAGTGCTCATAAACAGACGAAGGAGGAGGCTGACGACTCAGAGGGGAGAGACAGAGAGGGAGGAAGAGACACACACACGCACGCACGAGCACACCAGCACTCAAAAACGCCACACAACACTAAAAAACGCTTGCCCAATATATCAACCATATCAATCAGCGACAGCAACAAGGACACACACTACAGCGAGCGACACACACACACACACACACACACACACACACACACACACTTGTGAATAAATGGTCATTACATTTTCCATGAGCCAAGGCAACAGCTTTAAATCACTTGTTTTCTCAGCCCAAAACCCAAATGTATTAGATTTATAATTGAAACCAGTGATTCTTTGGTATTTTTGCTTGATGGATAACTACTATTAATCAATAATCGGAATTGTTGTGAATTTTCTGCCAGTTGGGTGATTGATTATTCCACTAATTGTTTTGCCACTGGGTTTTAGATGAGTAATAATGAATAATAAGTCATAAGATTTCATAGATGGTGTCACACTGCAATTGATATCATCATTAGTATTAGAAGCAATAATTCATAATGAGCAAAATGATTAGCCTTTTGTAAATCATTACACTGAGCCAGGTCTTTGGTAGCCATTGCTGGCTGAGGTGTCCATCCTGCGGCGGATCACTTGTTTTGGTGGCAGGTCTGGGTGCTCAGTCGGCTTCAAACTCTCTTTGGGCTCCAGTGTTGACAGACTTTTGATAGATCCAGAGCAGCTCCTGTGGCCTTCAGGAACAGATACATATAATTACTTCTGTCTACTAGTAAATGACATACAGATACTTAAGTATCCCCCCCCCCCCCCAAACTGCACCAAGTAACTCAGGAAATGAGCCATGTAAATAATATTTTAATACTGCTGTTAAATTATGCTTAAACGAAGGGAGTCCTGTCAGTTTGTGAAAGCAATAAGTCTTGGAGGAATAAGTTATGACAATAAAACTATTAAGTTTATGAATATGGTCCTGGAAATTACACTTTCATGATGCTACTTTCCACTTCATTCTCCACTGTGAAGGCAACAAAATCAATGAACTAATGACAGGCACCGCTGACTGATTACTTGATGATTACCCTACCTTCAGATATATGCAGTGATTTCAGGGAGGGAGCAGTGCAACGATTCAGCAGTGCTGGTCTGAGGTCAGTGCGGATGTGTGGGGCTTTTTTGGGTGCAGGAGACAGCCTGGGTGCTGTACTGACTGAGGACAAGCTGAGAGCATCCTCTGACTCTCCATCTGTACGACCTGCATCCTCCCTGGAGCTTGACTCGGGGCTGCTCACACACACCGTGCTCCTGGGGCCATTTGAGAGCTGCGATGGCGTTCTGCGGAGGTCCAGGAGCGACTTCTCCTTGACCTGAGCCGAGGAGGCTGTTTTGGAGGAGGTATTTTGCTCAGAGGAGTGCGAGGACAGAGACTCCATGCTGCCCATGGGGGTGCTGCTTGGACTGCTGCTGAAAGTGTCACCTATGCAGGGACCAGAGAAGAGGCATACAAAGCCCCCATTAAAATCTGCTGAGTGAGGAAGTGATTGCGGTTCTTTTATGGCTTAAATGAAAATTCCTTTTTTCTGACGAGAGAATATTAATTCAGTTGCTTTTGATTTAAGATAGCATGGTGTGAATCTTTCAGAAATTATGCAGATTGCAGAGAAATATTAAAGGCCACCGACAGATTTTGGCAATTTATGGTGTGATGGCCTGCTGTGGTAATCCCTGCTTTGGTACTCACTTTCTGCATCTGCCAGGCACAGCGTTGGGGTGTAGATGCTGCGGGGCTTTCTGGGCCCCGTGGACAGACAGATGGCCCTGCTTCTGCGAGAGCCAGGGCGGCTCTGGGGTTGCGGCAGGGGCACATTGGGGTCCGGAGGCTGGTGGAAGATCTGGAGGTCCAGGCAAGAACACTGATTACTCCCTATAACT